TAAAGGGGAAGGGGAATTAATTTCCTAGCCAGGACAGACAAAATGGTAAAACCGAAATTGAGCTACCATCCAACTGTCATTTAGAATCATCCCCTTTCTATTTCTTGTCTTACATGGATCCCATATGTCTTTCTGTTACCTGTTCTATTTTCTAGATTTACACCTGTTTTATAAGGTGAACAGTGATTTTTTAAATGGTATAAAGTCCATTTCATATGATCTTGGCAGGAAACAGAAGTCATCTGATACAATTTCTATTGCTAGGTGTGTACTTTCAAACCAATGCAAAACCAAAGGTAGTCTGTTCTATGTTTAAAGACTCTTCATAGATGCAGTGACAAGTTTCACAAAAAACCCATGGACCTAAAAATAGATGGATTTTTGATAGAGAAATTGTAATGGCTTCTGAGAAAGTCATCTTTTGCCCCTAAAGTAGAAACTGGCTGAATCCATCTAGGCTGGGGACAGCACATTAGCATTTACTCTGGAAGTTGAATGTCACTCATAGACTTGCATAGCCTAGTGGCTGCTAGGAGCTCTGTCCTTGCTGAGATGAATCCATAATTGAATGCCATGACCTTCCTTTAATTTATATGGATATTTACATCTAATGGGAAAAACACGGGGAATAACCAACTGACACATTTGACATACAAAAAAGTTTTGTAATAATAATATAGAATAGGGGTTTTCTTCTGCTTTAAACAAAAATGGTTTATGTTTATAATTTAGTGTGCTTATTCTCTATTCTCTACCTCCCCAAATATTCTTTTTTTTCTCTCATTTTCCTTTCCTCTTCCTAACATCTTCTTTCATTTTTCCGTTTTTCCTTTTTTCTTTAATGTCAGCTCATTTCTTCCCTTTATCCTCTTCCTCTTTCTAAACCTGTCTCATTTAAACCCTTAAGGACAAAAGAAATTTCCTTGGGTAATGTAATGTTTAAATTTTTCAGGGTCAGAAAAACAGAGTGCAAACCTTGATTAAATATATGCTTTCAAGGCCAATTAGAATTGTAGTGATCATTTTTATTTTAACTTTATTTTTATTTTATACCCTTGCTAATAATGAAAAAACAAACCATTAATATATGCCTATTGTATTAAATCTTTCTTCTTTAACTATTTGTTCTTAAATGCATCAGTTGAAGGAAAGAAATTTCACAGTCCTTCTAAGTAGCATATACTAACAAATAATTACTATAATTCTAAGAAAAGTATCATTCTATTTTCTAAAAGTCTTCCTTAAAAATTTTAAGTGCAAAGAAAAATCTGGTTCGGATCCTACATGAGTGCCAGTGACACTGCCCTCTACAGCTAAGATGGTGAACAACAGCTCGACCTGGAGCTGGGCTGCCATAAGCTACCGTGTGTGGCTGGCAGCCAGCATGAGGGCCGGCTGTCAGCATGAGCTGCCGACAGCCGGCATGAGTTGCCAAGAGCCACCGTGAGCTGCCGTCCAATGGCTGGTGAGTGACTGCCTCACCCGGGAAGAGCGCAATGATAATACCAACATGGGCCAGTGAAGCGACGTCCTCCATAACTATACTGAAGAACAAAAGGACAGCACTTGCCTGTTCCCCCTCCCCAATTCCCCAGCACTGTTCCCCTCCCCCAGTTCCCCAATTAAAAAAAAAGTAAATAAAATCCTATGTGTAAAATAAAATTTACATATAATAACGCTGAAGTGTTATTAAATCAACATAACAACAAGTAAAAATCAATAATAGCAAACCCTTTATGAACACTGCATGTAGTTTCTATATTCTAGATAGAAATCCTTTAGAATTTCAGTCTTTTCTCCTGATTCTATGGTGGAGAGTTTGGCAACAAAAATAACTTAATTCTTGAATTAAAACCTTCCTTGCTTCCAAGATCTATGCCAAGGCTTTAAATCGTTTAATAGCCATAATAAACCGATGAAAAAATTATCTTATTTTCTTCTTTTATCAATATGGGTATTGAGAATCAGAGATTATGTAAAATTTACAGGCTCATGTAGGAATTTAACACGACAATTCAGTGTTAAGATCAAAGCCGAGACTTATCCAAGATTTAATTAACCCTTATTCTGCGAACCTACTACAGTTCCCATCTGAACAATTTTATTCAGTTTCACATGATTCTTTACAGCTTTTCCTCATTAATTAGGACATTTACATAAGTATACAAAGAGAATTTTTAAGGAGTACTTCACACATTTACACTTCAGTACTTTGCATGTATAGGTACTTTGAACACTCTAACTGGAGGAATAGACAGATTTTTTCAATGATATTTAAGATTAATTGGCTAGTTTGTGAGTTTCCATATCTCATCATATTACTCTCTTTTTTATAATAGATGCTTATCTTGAAGGAATTTTCATCACATATGAAACTCAGCAAAGACAACTACTTATCTAGTTACTTTCTATTACATGACAGTGATATGTTGCATGAATACCTACATAAATAAACTAAAAGTGACACAGAAACCATCATGTAAATAATAACTGGGAAAAGTGAGGCAGAAATCATGATTGATTCCTGACATTTATAAAGAAATATTTAAAAATACATTGTGAGGGTGAACAGATTTATTATTATTATGTGTCTGTCTTCAATTATTAAGTCGAATTAAAAGCAATGTAATTTCCGATTTATGCATATTGCATGACTAATTTTCTCACAGACATGTAGGAACAATTTCTCTCGGCTCATGGCTCCTTAGTTTAGGATAATTTATTTATTACTATTTGTTAAGAGTAAGCAGTCAACATATATTGTGCTTCAGAAGGAGGAATGCTATCTGTTTTGTCTTTATGAGAGTATGAAAGTGAGCAGGGGGGAAAGTCTGTTTGTTCCATTAACCTAGCTCTATGCTGGGTACAAAGTAGAAGGAACATCAAGTTCCATGATTCATTCTCTTTACTTGTTGACTGTCAAAAATGTATTTTAATAAGGTAAGAAATTACACATTGTAAATAAAATGTAGATATCAAATTAGGAAAGAATTAGTTTATAAGTCAAAACATAAAGAGAAGCAGTCTTCTATCATTCCGGTTGAGGTTTGAAGTCAGTACCAAACCCTGCCCCTACTCCACCGCTTACTATGCTACCTCCCTCTAAAAAGAACTGTTTAACCTCACCAACACTCAGTTTATTCATCTGTAAATTCTGAGAGTTAGTTCTCCATAGGTATGCTGTGATGATTAAATTAATGTGTATTTAAATTACTCAGAAAGGAACCTGGCAAAAAGAATGCATTGAATAAATGATAATCATGTCAGAAACTGCAGTTATTTAGCAGAAAGAGGAGAAAGTTGAAGAGCTCTTAACAGACTTCCAGTGTTTTAAATTATTTTTAGGTGGTTTTCAACAAATAAAAGGATAATAAAAGAACAGTTCACATTCCATTAATTGTAGTGGGCAGAAATAAAATATTGTGGTAAGAAAAATGGTCTGTGAACTACTCTAGATATATCTGTTTTGAGGAGCAGTGATATCAAGTTCCCAGAGAGATCAAGAGACCATCCATCTTCCTTTTTATTTATAATAGTCTTGGTTTATACCATTTTCCTAGCACAATTAATAATATTGTCCTGATTTGAGTAGTAAAAGATTATTCTACCTAATTAGAACAAATTCATCCCATACAAATTATTAATACAGATTCTATGAATATGTATCAAATACTTTACTCCTTCCTCCATAGAAATGAGTATACCTTTCATATCACCTCACAATTTTAAAACATATTTTATTTTAATGAACCATGAGCTAATATTATGTTAAATCTGTGTAAAATATGGTAAAATGTGTTCTTTGAAATTAATAATAAAAACCATAGGTACATGTAATTTCTTTTCATGTATGGCAAGACATGTCATTAAAAATAAATTTTTTGAACCATAAGTGTATTATGTTACATATGGTTATATGTACACTCATGTCTTCAGTATAAAAACAAGTAGAGAATTGAGATTTTGAAAATGAAAATAAAATTGTGTTTATCTTTTAGTTTTTAAAAGTCTTCCTCTTATTTTCTAAACCACACACCAATAAAACTTGAATGAGAAAGAACTCATTAGGAATATTTCTTAACCTGAGATTAAGTTTTACCACTCTTTTTTTAATTTAATACCATATAATTTAAAAAGATGCATTTCCAGATCTGCTCTTGGGGCAGAGAAGAAAGCAACTTCCCAACCTTCTACATTTTTCATATCTGTGGAACATTACATGAACCAAAAGTCATTGTAATGATCCTGAAATACTATACGATTCTAAATTATTTATTTTTAACCATTTAGAAAATATTGTAGCCTGTTTCATATAACTTAGCAGGGCAAAGAACCCGTAACTTAAAAAAGTGTATATTTTATTTACCAATTTAAATTAGATATAGCAATGCAAAACTAAAGTAAAACAATGAGATTTCTGGCTAACCTTGCACATTCTATATACTCAAAGCATTACCACTTACATTTGTGAAAGACTGAGAAACTCCCTTGTTTTATATTTTTATACATATCTATAAATAATGGAGAAAAAACACGTTTATTCACTAATGCATACTGTCTAATTCTTTTGATGCCAAAGTAAAATATGTCCCAAAAAATCAGCTTCTATGGTTCTTAAAAGACGTATAAATTCTTTACATATTGGGATAGAAATCTTTGCATAAACTTTAAAAAATAAAAATATTTATTTAAATAATCCCATATCATTAGCATTCAAATTCTATTATTGGAAAAATTATGTATATTTTAATAAAAATAAATCAATGCATGAGGAAACTTTCCAGCTAATTCAATAGTAAATAGTTTTCATTGATTGCCTCACACCTCAATTACATCAAATATCCACTCTAATTTGCATAGTTAGGTACATTATAACTAATAAAGCATTTAAAAATTAATGCATAACTATTAAATCTCAATAAAAATTACAAAAATTGCAAGAAAATTAATTTTGTAACAAAATATGTATAAGCACAAAGCATGCAAAGTTACATACTCACCAATACAGGTAGGTAAGGAATCATTCCATTGGGCCAAAGAATTGGGCACTGTATCACACCTAATTGCAATGGATCCACGGAGAATATATCCTGGATTACATTCAAAAAGAACCAATGAACCGACTGCAAATTCATTGCCAATCCTTCTTCCAAATCTTGGTTCGGGCACAGAACTGCACTGTGTGGAACTTGTTCTAGGAACAGCTGCATACAAAGAATTATTGATTTTAACTTCATATTTAGTAGAGAAATACATATTTCAAAATGAAACAGATTTCAAAGACATTTTCACTTTTTATTAAAACTTTGACCATTGGAATAATTTCTAAAAGTTTCAAAATTAATACAGAATAAAATACAATTTAAAATATATATTGTCATCAAGATTTTTTCTTTAAAAACATTTTGCTTTTGATCCTTTAAACATCAACTAAGTTTTTGTTTTTCTATTTTTTGTTTTACCAAACTCTTAGTAATATAACAACATAGGTTGTGTTATATATTTCAATTTATAGGATGGTAACTGAATAATATAATGGATACCAAGTTCACAAAATATGTGTCAGGTTTCATGAGATATTGCACAATTTTTTTTTAGTAGTTGGTCCTTAAAAACATACATTTAAAAAAAAAAAGCAAACAACATATAATTGATTTCATAGAATGTTTACAAACTTAGTTGTTCAAAACCAGTTTTGATGAAGACAATAGCTATATTCAGGTTAAGTAGAAGTCAGACAGATTAACAACAATAGAAACTTTTGTTTTAATAATACAATATCAAATTTAAAACTGCTTTTAGGATGTATCGTTATGTCTTTCAATTGTAACTTTTTTTTCTTTTGTTTAATAAAATAGAATGATAACAGGATGTTTTTTCTTTTTAAAACACATACAGATGGGATTAAAGAGTTTGACAATAGCCCAAAAAATGATATGATGGATTCCAAATAGATTGATTCCTTTTATGTGAGTTGAGTAAAAGTGATTCAATTTTCAAAAGTGCCTTTTAAAGTTATAATACCCCACATTGTTAAAAGAGGGAATGCTATTAAAAATGAAACAGTAAAATATTATAACCAATATTATAAATTGGATAAAGGGCTTAATAAAAATATCAAATGTAAATTTCTTAGGAGTAAAGTTCAAGATACATTTGAGAATAACTACTACATGATAATATACAACTAAAATAAAATACTTCAAATGATAGCTCTCTATTTTAATTTAATTTAATTTAATCATAAAGTAGAAGGTTGTCTATAAAAGTGAGAAAAAAACATTGTCAACTGATTTTCAATTGCACAAAAATATTTAATAGCCATGAAGAACACTTGAATTCTCCTAAGAAAATGAGAACTAAAATTTTAGAATGGAATAGGATTTCCTTCGCATGTCTAAGTACATCAGCACAAAATTTTGTACATTTTTAATTTAGGGTACTAGACTATGAGGTAAATAGAGTATGTAGAAAGTGAAGCATTGCCAGAAAAAACAAAACAAAACAATGTTTTGAAAACAATATACTGGAAGAAAGGAAAATCATACAATTAACTTAAGAATGATGATGAAAGCAATAGGTATTTTTTGACTTTGGTCAAAGTAACAGCGCTGTAGTGAAGGGAGAGGGAACAGGGCAAACTGTCAAAAAACCCAAACAAACAAACAAACAAACAAAAAAACAGTCCACATCTCCTATATGTTTGTGAGGAACTGTTCATTCAATTACTCTGAACACAGCATGGAAACTTGATATTATTCCTTAAGTGTGTTTCTAGGCTACTGGGTCACTTACCTTGATAAACAAAGTGAAATCCCTTAGCTGTTATTGGTCCAACTGAAGTAAATCGAATTGTGATCTGATTACCTGAACTCAGTGGAAGTGATTCTCCTACTCAACAAAACAGACACTAAGATATCATAAATAATTTCATTCAGTAAACCTAACAAATTATATTAATTTACACTGTCATTTGAAAACGTCAATCTATGTGCTATCAAATTACTTTAATATATCCTACTGACAATATATTTTCTTTGGGTTCAGCTTCAATTGCAACCTTTTCACTGAAAGGCTTTAATTACATTTTGATACATATTGCCTCATTCTTTAAAGACTCCTTAAATATTTCTAGTACATTAAATACCACAGACAAAGTCACTAAATATATTGACTTGATTACAATCCCAGCAAATCGTTTGTTATATTTTTTTCTCAAGCATTTGACTTACTAGTAATTGTGTTTCTATTCTTTGTTTAAAACAAAAAGTGATTCTATTTTCCGTTTATTTTATCTCTAATATGGATGACATCAATCTCAACTTTCTCCACAATATCAATCAAAGTTAGTCTTTAATCAATAACTGATGCATGGCAGTTCTATTAAAGGATACCTGAGTGGGATCCTGAGAGGGAAGATAACAGAGCAGATTGCTGAGTTGGCCCATCATACACCTCAACAACATCGTGGAGTGATGTCTGGAAAAATACAAACTGGCCAAACACCACTGATCAACAGGAACCAGGAGAAGCAAACAAATCACCAATCATCCAAAAAACGAAAACAAAAAACAAAACAAAAATAGAAAGAGGAGGAGAGAGAGAACAAAGTATTACAATATAATAGTCACCTTTTTACTACCTTTAAAAGAGGATAGGTGCCAATTGGTTGATAAGCCTGACACACGTATTTCAGGTCATAAAAGGAATGACCAATAAAAATTTTAAGAAGACAATTAAAAATAATAATGAATGAAATGGGTATAACATTTAATTTAGATCAGAAATCATAAGGTTGGTGATTAATGTTTTATAATAACTACTTTTTGATTTTCCCATTGGTAGTTTGATTCTTATCACTTTGTGACTCTCTTCTCTTTTTCTAATTTTTTTCTCCTCTTTTATATGAGATAGACAAAGTTTTAATTTAGGGTTTTTTTTTTTTTAACTTGCTTTTAAACTGCTATCCCATTATGAATAATAGTTTCACTGGAAGACTTTAAGATACTTTTCAGGTATAATGGTTAATTCACATGTAAGTTAAAAATGATTCCTAAACATGTACTGTTAATTTTCTGCCAAAGTAAAGAAATATTATTTACGAAACCTCAGCAATTGAGGTATTGCAAAATTTTACAAAGTGACTGCTTTTTCATGGTAAGTACAAATTTGAAGTACTTACCAAGAGAGCTTTATAAATGTCTTCTTTTTACTTCATTTTGTACTTTTTCTTTAACTATGAACTAATTTTACATGCAGAAACTACTCAAACTGTAACTTAAAAGAAAGAACTTGTTCCAGAGCAGAAATAAGCTTGTGTTTTGTGATTTTAAAATGAAATGGATAATAAAAATTATCCTTAAAACATTTCACTAGGTAGAAAATTGTGGGGTGAAAAGAGTATGATTTTCTAAAAGTTTAATAATGTAAAAGCAAGGTAACTATTGTAAATTGAAAATCCCATTACTATAAACAAACTACGCACTGCATGAATATATGTATTTTTTAAAAGTTCTTCATATTTTACACCTCAAATCAAGGTTGTGGTCATTCTTTGGTGATCCTATGAAGACAGGCGAGTTCATTGTAAACATGCTGTTTTGCATATGAACACATACACAGATATTGTAAACAAAGCTATAGTTATTTTTTTGGTCTGCTAAAATAAGCTGGTAATCTCAGTCCAGTTCTTTGTAGGATGAAAGATACACACAGATACAGGGTCATTGTTGGAACAATCGCTGAACACTGAAGTGCTAAATTTCATAAACAATCCTCCTTAAAACATTTCCTAGAAGTCATGAAAGCAAATTTGTTTCTACCAAATCAGATATATGTAGTAAATTATTTTAATCGTTTGCAAGTCATATGAAACGTTTTCAGTTCAGACTTTTTACAAAGATCCATAGCCTGGTCTATGAAATCTGCAGCTATTTCAAAACTATTCCATAAAATACTATGAAACTTTTTGTTTTCCGTTTTCCATTTATTGAGATTAGTGTTGGGATGAACTGTTTCCAAATGTGTCTTTAAAAGTTTCTATTACAATGCGGATGTTGCCACTGCCTTTTCATGTGCACGAACTTATCACAGGAACTTGGCTAAATCAAGTGCACTGTACCATAGACAGGCTCTTGACAGATAACTTATTCTTTGTCTATATCTTTTTGGGAGTCATTAAAAAAAATTTAAATGCCACATCCTCTAACTCTTTATGCCTAAATATCTCAAATTTCCATTAGGAAGCATGCCCAATTGTCAAGCAAACTGCTACACTTACAAACAACTTCTAAAACAACCAAAATACACAGTAATCCAAGATCTTTTTCTAAGGAAAAATTTAAAACAAAAAACAAAGAACTTCTTCATTTTTCTTGTTTGTAGGCCTCTTGTTCTCAACTGTCACTTGTCTACACATAAGCCAGTTTTGTGTCACCTGTAAATTGGGTATGTGGACTGTGAATTTAACAACGTAGCCATTAACACCATTTATTTGCATCGCGTGAAGTAAAAAAATAAATGTAGGGCATGCCAATTTGAGTGTCATTAGTAACTTGTGCCTTTAATTTATTGTAGTAATTCTGAATGGGTTCAGGGAGAATTAAGAAGGTTGGGGGTGAAGGAGTTGAGTGTTGAATCTTTTCGTATTAAGCAATCAGAAAGCTACTTTTTTTTAACTGTGACCTACTTCTGCATTAACAATGCCAAGAAAACTGTATTTTATTTATTTATTTTTTATATAATTACTCTTTTTGTCTAAGCATAGTTGGTATTCATTATATTAGTTATATTAGTTTCAGGTGTATTATATAGTCATTTGATATTTTTATATCTTACAATGTAATCAATCACTCCACTAAATCTAGTAATTGTCTGTCAAGGTGCAAAGTTATCACAATATTATTTGATTACTTTTCCTTTCAGTTTTTCCATGGATCTCTCTAACCCCCTCCCCTTGGCAAAAAGAAATTTTAAATTAAAAATAGCTTTTATTAGACAAAAGAAGTTACTCAGAGAGGATATAGAATCATTACATTAAAAATAAAAATAAAAATTAAGTACATTTTTAATAAGTTTATTTGTACTATGAAGAATCAAGAATACTTGCATAGTAATCTGATTTCCCACATATTATCAGGTTAACTATCATCTCACTAAATTGATATGTTAAAATTCTGAACCAAATCCCCCTTTCTCATCCAGAAATCTCAAGAATTAAATGGAAACTCTTGTGTTTGCTTCACTATTTTGTCTGTAAATGTCTTAATTTACTTAGTTTTCTTATGTTCAGAGAAGAGTAGGCCTTCTGCTTCTAAAAGATTCTGAATGGCCAACTGCACCCTTTGCATGTTTGAGACTGACGTGGGGAAAAATTGTGAAAGACTTTAAGGTAGATCAAAAGTTAACTGGATGCTGTTTTTTAGTAAGCGGGATGTTGTATAGCACACCCTTGTGAGTCACCTTGTGAGTCACCTGTGTTTATGGGGGCTGTGATATATGCAATGGATTATTATCAATGGACAGATTTTTGCTTCTATTTGTAAATTCATTTCAGCTTTCTGTCTATCTATCTATCTATCTATCATCTATCATCTATCTATCTATCCATCTATCTATCCATCCATCTATCCACTATGTACCTACCTACTTACCTACCTACCTACCTACCTACCTACGTGATTTTGGTCATTTGAATTGTCTTTTGGACCACTGTAACATCTTACTGGGTCCTTTATTAATTCATGAGTTAAATAAAAATTTTTATGCATGTGTATTTTATATTTGTATGGGACTCATGATTATGCCCTCTTTAAAGCAAAGCAAAACAAAACAAAACAGGTTTTATCGCTGATCTGGATGCTGATACTTCACCTTAATGAGTGGACCACCCTTCTATTTTAGGGATTTTTATTAACTCCCAAAGTCAGGGCTGATTATGCCTTCTGGTATGATTAGCTATGGTCTATCTTCTTTTTCTTAGTGTCCAGCAGAGATACTGAATTCTATGCATCTCGGCTCCAAGTTCCTTTCCCTTTCTCTGAAAATGTGCATGCAGATATGAAAAGGTTATTAGAGTAGGCTATAAACACAAAGCTGTTTCTTAGGAGAAACACCATTTTAAAAGATTTTTTCCCCTTCTTTAAGCATAATACATGTAAAAAGTTAATGTTTCAGCTCATTTGTTATACAACCTATTTTTATAATGTTCTATGTATTACCACCAGCTAAAAAAAAAAATGTAAGAAAAGCGAAGCCTGGTTAGGTAGACATAAACATGTAAATACCCCAACAAATAAGCCTATGCACATAATCTAGTATCATGCCTGAAACTACTCCTGACCCGCTTATTTTCCGTACATTTTATTCAAGAATACTGTTTATTAATTCAAGTAACATTTGTTGATGCTATTCTATGATGTCCAGAAACTGAGCTCAATGGGGTTAAAAAGATGACCAATCCATTGAGGGTCCCTGCTCTTAGGTTCCATCAACTGTATTTGACGTCATTTGGTTGGCAGCTTCCCTTTACTCTACCTATGCAAAGATGTTAAATTAGCCCATTAAGTTAATATAAACCAACAACAGGGCACTCAGGGCATACCCTTCCATGCAGATCAGTGCTGTGCTAATCATTTAACTCGTTTTTCTAAGCAAGTCCTTGACCAGCCTCTAACGGGCAATATTTGGGGGAGGTCCAGCTGCATTTTAAAGAAATCTATAATTGAGACTTAAAAAAAAATCATTTAGAAGCCTGATTAAATCACTTCAATAGAGGAAACCTTCCATTTAGATCATATTGGGAGGATGTTTATTCCCACTTCAACATTTTTGTCCTGGTTCATTTGCTTTCCCCCATGAGCAAATAAAGTCAGATGAGAAAGTCAGATGAGACAAGGCATTGTGTCTATCTATTCTTCTTTGTAGTTAAAGCAAGGTTTATTTGACATCTCATTTTAACAGTATCATACCCAACCAAGACAGAAAGCAGGGTTCCCTTTACTGAGAAGTTTTGCATGGTATGTGTATTCATTTAAGTAAGTTTCAATGAGCGTTTGTTTTGTCTTCTACATTAAACTCTGTCAAATCCTTTATCCTTTGGTCACATTCATTGAACTCCTGAGACTTTGTTCACGCTCCTTAATTGAGCCATCCCAAATGTAAGTCAACAAATGATGGGAAAGTGCCTGGATGGCACAAAAAACTCCTGAGCTTCAGTATGGCTACACTGTTAGACCGCTCAGTGCAGGCCAACAGTCACTCTGCAAGTCTCTTTGTGGAAAACAGCACAGTGGGTACCTGGCGTGTGACATGATGTACTAAATGGTTTAGTGCCCAGTGGTCTGTACATTATTTTAGAATATGAATAAATAGAAGAGAGGAGTTAAACGTTCCCTTTTCCACTAAAGTTCACTCTGGAATATTGCTGAAATGGTCTGCCACAGTCCAAGCAAGTCAGAAACTTTTGGAACTTACATTTAATTCTTGTGCCATCAAAATAGCTAGTACA